TTGATAGTACCTTATAAGGGTACCTTACTTGGAAAAAACGCTATGCAGCACCTGCTCGGAAGCGCGGAATTCCGTCCTGCCAGGCGTATTGCTCCCACTCGTCTTAGGGACTTATCGCGCCATCAGGCTTCAAACTGACGTCCACATATGTTGTGGTGGAATCTTACTGCGGGAGCCTCTTTATCGATTTGACCGTAATTTTTCTCGGCAGCTGTCGAGAAACGACACTCACAGTGCGTCCCTTTTTTCCGTTCCATCAGGAAGACGATGACTAATCAGTGCTCCTTCTCAGCCGCGCCGACGATCTCTTCTATTGGATCGTGATGGGTGAGTAGAAGGTCCGAAGCGAGCGATTCTCGGTGCGCTGAAGGGGTTCTTCGCGTTCAGCGGACCATTTGAACGATACCCCTTCTTCAGCGGTGCACGTAGTTGTTGGGTGACGCTAACTGACCTAATGTCTACAGTAGCTGAGCATTCCCAGGAAATCGTACTTGCGCTGTTTCCTTGCGTTGTGGCATCTTCCGCATCACTTCGGTATTCGTGGGAAGGTGGTGTCCTATGAAAAGGATGACGTTTTCTAGCTACTGGAGTTGAGGCTTGAGAAAGTTACATTTTTCGATCCGAAAGCAGAAGCAGCAGTCGAATATTCTCTTGAAAAGAGCTTCCTCGTTGGCGACGTACTTTGATGATGCAGCATGTGACTATAATGCCGTCGAGGTATGCAGCACGGCCTCTGAGTCCACGAATCATGGGATCAGTTATTTGTTGGAACATGTCAAGTGCAGAGTTAACGCTGAACGGTGGATGATTGAGGCGAAGTAGACCTCTGTGCGTATTGACAGTCAATAATTCCTTCTGGTTTATTGTAACCAGTCGGATCGCCCGGCTGACGCCGAGCTCTCCTCCTTCTCTTTAGCTCGGCTTCGCCGAGCTGGCCTGGCTTCGCCAGGCGCGCTCCATAATGGGGAACGGAACTCTTTCAATCACTGCGTTGCTCATACAGCTCTGTATTGGTACAATCATAACAGATAGAGCAACCCTGCGGATCCTGCGTTCCATAGTAAACGCTTATACTTGCGGTCCGCGCCATAACGGCCATACAACACAGACAGGGTACAGCATCCTTGTGTGAAACACATGAGGTACTTTTGCTCTGAGGAGGGGGGTCGTATTTGGGGTGGGGTAAGACAAATTTATTTCGATAGTTGATTTTTTCTCCTAGAAAAGTGGGGGTTGTATTGATTTTTTGTTTTATATGCACTATATGCATTCTGTACGCCCGTGGGATATACGTTCATAGTTATTGTGTGCCCCTGCTGTAGGGTATGTAGTGTTATCAGGAAAGTGTTGGCCAAAGGAAAGTTTCACAATCTGAGCCTCGAATACTCGGCATTAAAGCGGTGAGAGGTTAGCGCAGATGGTATCGTATCAATTTTTATCGATTGATAAGATTACCTGTCACCCGTCATCAATGTCCTCATCACTAAATCTCTATGATTTGAGAGCGTGAACCGCCTTGAACAGCGACGACGACTGCAACCTCCATTATCAGCCCCTATCAGTAGTTATCGCTTCTAGTCACCCACGGTTGATGTTCCCAACTCACTCTCTATATCACTTGCTGAAAGGCACGCCTCGCTGATACTGTGACCTGCGCTATGAATACGATGACCTGACTATTCTAACGTCCCTTATCGAATCTTATCAGCAGCTCACAAATCTTGTTACCCACCAATAATGATTTTGGCCCTCATCCTATATCATATCTCGAAATCAAGAGCTGACTGCTGCTGTGACCTGCGCTGTGAATATGGTAACCTTTTCCTTCTAACGCCCCTTATCGAATCTTATCAGCAGCTTACAGTTTTTGTGACCCACTAATGATGTTCTTGGACTATCCTCTATATCATATCTTGAGATCGAGAGCAGGCTGATGCTGTCACCCGCGTTATGAATATGGTGACCTCCTCCTTCTAACGCCTCTTATCGTATCTTATCAGCTGATATCACTTCCTGTCACCCACCAATTGTGTTCCCGTCACACCGCCTACATCACTTCTTGAAATCAATGTCTCACTGTTACTGGGACCGGCGCTATGAATTTCGTGACACACAGACAGACACACACACATACACACACACACACACACACTTACAGACATACTTAGCGGATTATATAGAGTAGGGAGGTGTTCTCGAGCGATGCTTGCAAAATATCAATGGGCATGATAATGAAGAGCGAATCTTGCTCTTCCTCCTTATTAGAGCCTAATCCTGCTACCTGCCGCGATCTCTAGACAAAACATAGCACACAATATGACACACACATCTCGGCATGGAGCAGGCTTGCGCATCACCGACCAGATTCGGGGCAGATAAATCCCATTCTTTATCTCCTTTGTTTGCCTGAGTAGTTTTTAAGTTGTTGAAGAGGAATGCGAGGGTAGGACCGTGCAGCAGTCGCGCGCGATATCGCAAATATTCGGCACCGTTCACGATAGAACAAGCGCGTATTGCGCGATGGTTTTGTTATGTGTGACGACGACTGTCGCAACCTACACCCGGAAAAACGGCCGTACGAGTTTACCGGGTGCATCTATCAAGTTTTCAAGTCAACTGTCTACTCCCTCTGGCATTCTGCCTTCAATATGAATCAATACCGACGGTTTAGCACTGTTGTGCATGGGATTGCCGTGGTTTGTATCAGAAGTGAATGCTGCTATGTTTACACTTAACTTTTTTTTATTTTTTCAGACTAGCTGAACTTGCTTGCCGTGGTTTGTACAGGAGTGAACGCTGCTATGTTTCCACTTAACTTTTTTTATTTTTTCAGACTAGCTGAACTTGCTCAAGTCCCATGCAACATGGTCCGAGCCCGGTTAAGTATTAGCTTCGTGCTACTCCAGTCATAACCTATTGCGTAGGCCATCACTTGCCCTGGCTTTCAATATTGTTCCTTCTGTGCGTCCATTTTCCCCAAACTGTATACTCTTAATGTGGCGATTTGCTAGGCCCACTGCAGCCATGGGATATAACACATCAGCACAGTGTACTTGCTCTTGGAGCGTTATATTCGTTAAAGAAGATTGAGTTGGTAATCCGCAAAGCCAAGTCCGCTTTAGATGCGAAAATTTCACAACTGTGCTGTGCAGTGTGTGCTATCCAGTGTAGTCGCTAGGAACAGAAAGACATAGACGATCATATACGATTTATTACGACTCTTCAGACGTTTGTGTTCTTCTAGAATAGCTATGAATTATGACTCGTAAACAGTTAAAATCATGATAATCAACAAATAATTTAGCAATTACCACATAATTCACCGATGAATTCGTTACTTTTACATTCTGATTAACACATAAATACTGTACTTTCCAGTTTTACAAGCTTGACAAGTTTCTCTGTGGTATACCTCGAGCACATACAGCGTGAACCCAAAGGCGACATTGTGTACAAGCATCCATTGCTTTTCTCTCGCATCTGGTTCATCGGGGTCCATGTCCTCAGGAAGTTCGGGGTGTTCTTCAAAACAGAGAGAACAGAAAAGGATCTCCTCCGGGTCTATTCGTAGGTCTTCTGCTGATTGAGAGATCTTCCTCATTTGCTTTCGAATACGTGCTCTCTGCAATAACATATTCGTTAGGAGTAAAGATCCCGTGCTTGTTAAAACGAATAATGGAAACGGTACCGTATAAAGTTCTGCTTTTTGCAATTCCGGTCTCCCTCCACTACAGGGACATCAGGCATAGGCAAAATTGCGGTCGATCCAAGCGGAACATCGATATCATCAGCAAGGATACGCATTCGATCATTCGATAATCGGTACCATGACACTAGAAGAAACCGGAAAGGTAATCTCCGAAGCACATTATGTTAGGTTTGCTACGGAAAGTTCTCAGCGTTTCGAGTGTTTCACTTTAAACGATCATAAGTTTCCTAACATCGGATTTAATCCAAATAAGCACCATTCGAATCAGCACGTTTTTTGCCATGTGAAAACAGTCGATAAATCCCCATCAAGGAAAAAACTGGGTGGTCGAGAATCCACGAAATCCATGAAGGCTTTTTTTGGAAAAGGCCGTAATCGATGGAAGTATTTTCCAATGCAAGAAGTGGTGGGTCACTCCACAAAAGCCTTTCAAGTCTTCGTCTAGGTATTGTTTAATGTCGGACGCCAGGAGCTTCATCTCTAATGGCAAATTCAGAGTAGTAGATCTGCGACCATTGTCGCACGGTGCTTTCTCCAATACTATTGCCCCCCCCCACACCTGGTTAATTTGTCGAGCTGCCTCGACTGCGGATTGACCCAATTTGTAGTTGAAGAAAAATATCGTCCTGAAGTTGCTCTTTTGACATGCATCAAAAAGTCTTGGGAAAAGGGGGTTTATCAAGCATTGGTGAAACGGCAATCACACCATCAGATAGCGCAAAAAATTCTCTTCAGGGTGCACTACTGAGACGCAAGGGAGAGTGAGTTTTTAATCACGCCATTTGAAATGTACCAAAAATAGTAAAAAAAGCGCTGACTTTCGGCAACCTAATAAAAGAATAAGGAAAAGTACAACATAGGGTATTTTCTGGAACATCAAACATACCTGTTAGAAACAGCGCCGGGGAGCGAGACGTTGTGATTTCCGCAATTCTTGTCGACGACGCGTTGAAGGACTAGCTAAAACTGAAAATGAATTATAAAAATCTTGGACGCTTAAAACTATCCACCTGTTCGAAGATAAAACGCTGGGAAGGGAACAGAGCGTAAAGCGGAACGGAAGCTTTTCTGTTCCGTTTCTAGCTAAGCCTTTAGTTTTAGCTAGAAACGGAACAGAAAAGCACAAGGATACACGGCAGTATACAAAGCACTATCGTTTTGCGAATGTTTGAAGCAAAGACAAAGCAAGAAAAAAACTTGTGAAGAAACGAAATCGAACAGAAAAGCGAGATGAACATAATCCGGCTATTTCGAAAGTTTAATAGGACAGCGTGGTCGCAACGAGACGTGGACGAGGTTCGTCGCCCGTAAAACTCGTACGGGTTTTCTCACGGGGTAGGTTTAGGGCGGATGTTTGTGACAGTAGCATTCCAATGTTATTTTATCAAAAGGTTAGTACGTTTTACCTCAACAATACCACAATAAGTATCTCTGAGATTATGCTGTCCATAAACTGTCAAATGATCAGGGATCAGCAGGTGAGCTCAGGTTTCTCTGCAATATAATTGTTATTCAATCATTCTAGTCATGCAAACAAAACAATATCTGGAGGCCATGACAGTTCAGGTCCTACCAGAGTGAAAAGCGTGGCTGAAACCTGAACGACCCATTCTCATTCAACAGCACAATGAATTTATCGCGAGCGTGCGCTCCATCGCAAGCCCGCGGTTTTGCAGGTTGCCGCTCAAGTGACGTCGCTTAGTCCTAGATCATCTTTCTTGGTGAGGTTCCTGTGCCATTTCTTCCTATCAGAAGTATATATCCAGAAGCCCCATGGCTCTCGTAACTTTATTTGCCTGCCTGCAATCATACTTCGTGGCACGACCCGAAATTGGGAACACTCCACCAGTGGTAGCGTTTTTTATTCATAGCCAGGACAAAAGTGTTTTGAAGTTCGCAGAGGTCCAACCATTAGTGTTGGAGCGCGATCGGGTGCAGTCGAGCCATTAAAGCGATCAAGTCGCAAGGTACAAAAACGATCTCTCCCACCCTGTATTTCGTATCACCAATCGTTTTGCATGCTACGATCTCATCTTTCGAGCTTATCAGGCTACCGTCACATTCCGACCCGGTTATTTTTTTTCTATTTTCTACCAATGATTTAGGCTTACTCCCGAGTTGATAGCACCGTTTAAACTAACACTGTACCTGAATACTGTGAATATGCTCGAAGTGCTACTATCAGGTACCGCAGCAAGTGTGACTGGTGGCTCAACAACAGCTGGTGCTTCACTACTTGCCGGAAGCGGCACACATGGATCGACCACCACAGAACAGTCCTCCACAACTCCTCCTGGACATTCTGGAACAGCTACAAGCCCAGGCAAGTGCTTTGAATTGTTTCCATCATTTCGTTGAGCGACGAGGTCACCTACATCATAAACGGCTTGAGACAGACAGAAAACAAACTTGAAGACAGTAAAACGAGCCCTAGGACTATTTAGTACGACATTGGGCATTCGCAAATATTAAAAATATAGCAGGTAAGTGAAAGTCATAGGTGGTGAATTTGATAACCTGCTTTTCAAGGCCGCGGTGCGCGCTCCAGAAGTGATCACAAGAGTGCTCAGTTATGGGAGGAAGTCAAATCCTAGGCGAGACTGGAACCCGCATCTCGCACTGGCTTAGCGAGTGGGATATCGCGCTTGTTCGGAGTTGCGGGTTTGAGTCTCGCTTTTGGTCTGGTTTTTGCACAAGATCAGCTTTCTTGTGCTACATAGCAACGTTCGTAAACTAGAAAGCTGCCAGCGAAGATAAAAGCAGAAAGAGCTGGCAAGGACGACCTCAATAAATCTTTTGTCCGTGAGCCACCGAGCACTGAGACACTGCATGTGCCAAAGAGAACCAGACGGGAAATATAGCGAGAAAGTACGCGAACGAGCGAGACTGCGTCTGAAAGAAGCGATGAGGAAATGGAATGATGAGGTGAAGATCAGCATCCGGGCATAACTCGATAGCGGTCGCATCTGCCGCTATTATCAAGCAGCCACGGTCGCATCTTCCGCGATCACGGGCTGGCATCCTCCTATAACGAAGGGAAAATACACAGATTGTGTCTCGAAAGAGATACAAGATTTTGGGAAGGGCACGCCATACTGATCACAGCTCGACCTCCAAAAATTAACACATTGTTGCCGCTGTACGGTCAAGGAATGCCTACCACCACTGACATCATCTCGGAACTTATTCAATAAAGAAATGTGTAAAATAAACCAAGTAACTTTTTACTCCATTCTACGTTAAACTAGCGCATCAAAAATGGCTCTAAGGCTAACAGCAGCTTCTTGAAAGGATTGCGCCCGATTCCGAATTTTTTAGTCCAGAAGCGATTACTACTGAGCTTTCATGAACACGCTATCTAGGAAGGTCGTTCAAGGCGTGGGACGCTTTTTGAAAACGGCCTTCTGCATGGTGTAGGCACATGTGCGGACCAGAAACGTGAAGTTCGTTTCCGCTGCACGCTTCTCGATATAACGGTTAGGAACTCCACGGGACAAAATTTTGCTCTTGCCCGTGTTAGTCTTAATCTTTTGTCCCAAAATCATGCCCGATTAGGTTCACGAACTTTTATTCATTATTTGAATAGTGCTTCTTCCTCCCTTCTGGAATTGTGATTCACCCACCTGGGCTGTTCAGGGCCGCGCTGGCGTCATATGGTATTATTGTCAAAATCGGAATCGAGACTGTCGTGTACCCCAGGGGACAATCATTGGGCCACGGAATTTTTTTTCTTTCTCGAATTGTCAACGATTTGGTCAGCAGTGCAACCGGAGTCTGACATCTTCATACTGTTGATGACATAACTATGACGCAATGGACCGCCGTTCGACCGTACCATCGGTTTGGTGTGAAAAGATCCCATCCAATGCGTCTTGGTAGCCGCTGGTTGAGTGAACAAGATTGAACCTTTTCCGATTTCTACGGAGTAATCGCTCAACGAAGTTGTCGCCCTGTCCTACATAGAGACGAGCAAGCAGTCCGTTTGACCTGCTTTGAGCCCATTCGAGTCTAGTTTTACCTTCCTTTCATGAGCCCCTCTGGAAAGATCTTCCTCTCAGCAAATGGCTAGAGATTTACAGCGCATAGAGGCTCAAAAGAGACAGTTCACAAAGATTTCCTTTCACTCCTTTTTTTGGCATTCCTACAAGCACGCAGCGAGAAGAACCTCTCCCTCCGGTTCATGCGTGCTTCTCTCCGTCAAAAAAAACCGTTTCCAAAAACCCAGTACGCCTCATACGATCTCCCTTGTAAATAGGCTCATCGTTCAAAGTAGTGAACGTTCCGAAGTGGTGGCATCTGTCTAGTCGATCCAACTGTTAGAGATCGAAATTTCGGTTTTGTGCTGACCGTAGGACGTAGAATTAGCGAACTGAGCCAGTGAGTGGGTACTTCATGTAAAAGTTGCAATTTTAAAAAGCTTTCCACCTTCATTTGGCGAATCTGCTATTGATCAAGAGCGCAATACAAACGGATTATTGGAGTTGGTGTACATCACCGCCACGTTTACACAATGAGTGTCGCTTTTGGCCGGAGAAGAAGGGGTCGGTTTCACTTAGCTGGACCCCCCTCCCTCCCTCTTCAAGGCAGTTATTTTCGGAGAATTCGGTCAGGCAGCGTTCAGACCTCCGCCGACCCTGTATAGAGCACCCAACATGTTAGGTTAGTTGCATAATTTTTGCGCCTGTTTTGAGATCTTCCGTATTTGTTGCACGGAGATTGAGTATTTCGTCATCAGTGTGGCGTGACGTATACTCTGCCTGAGCGTTGGCGTCGAGTGAGTGGATGGTGATGGTGCATACCTCTAATCTTCAAGCTGGTTCGCTATTGAGATATTTACAAACCAGTCGGATCGCCCGGCTGACGCCGAGCTCTCCTCCTTCTCTTTAGCTCGGCTTCGCCGAGCTGGCCTGGCTTCGCCAGGCGCGCTCCATAATTTTAACGGAACCTTTTCAATAGTGGGCTGCTCATACGGCGCTGTAGTGATCGAATCGTAACAGATAGAGCAAGGCTTAGGATCCTGCACTACTTAGCATACAATGTGTAGTCGGCCAATGCAGCGCAATATGAATCGCTCAGTAAAAGAACAGATTTCGTTTCCATTACCTGCACCGAAATGCCTACCGATGAATGTTCCCCTTTTCAATTAGCATGCAATGCAAGCATGCATTAGCTCCCTGAAGTACGATTAGTAGATACTATACTCCCTTGTTATTCGTTCTCATCTGTAATTGAATGGTCAAAAGTAAAAAGGGCTGTTGAACGCATGAAGCGAAGCATTATTCAGGTTTTCTGTTCTCCCGGAGTTTCCTGTTTCAGGCAAACTACATACCCCCCCCCCCGCTCGTCGACATCGACATTATATAGTAGGATAGTGGGATGAGTTCATTTCCTAGTGTTATCAGAGAAGTGATGGCTAAAGGAAAAGTTTGCACATTGAGCCTTCCAATACTTGGCAGTATAGTGATAAGAGATGTAATGAGAATGGCCCTTATCCTTTCTTATCAATTGATAAGATTGCCTGTCACCCGTCATCAATGTCCCTATCACTAAAACTCTATAATTTGGTAGTGTAAAGGCTCCAGCACTTTGACTGAACACACGGCAACGTTCCTTATCAGCCCCTATCAGCTGTTATCACCTCCTGTCACCTGCCGTGTCCCCATCTCCCACTCTATATCATTTTCTGAAATCAACGCCTAGCTGATGCTGTGTATCGCGTTATGAGTATGGTGACCTTACCATTCTAACTCCCCTTATCAAATCTTATCAGCTGATATCACTCCCTGTCACCCATCAATAATGTTCCTGTCCCACACCCTATATACCATCTTGGAATCAACTTCCCACTGTTGCTGTGTCC